AAAACTGTTCAAAATAAAATATGAATAGTACTTTTTAGGAAAGTTTTCTAGCTAAAATTGTCACATGGGTAATGAAAAAGAAAAAAAAATAATAACGAGTTTATAGTGACTAAATTCTAAATATTTGAATAAGTAATAATTGTAAATATATAATTTAATTGAGAGCATCTAAAAGATGTAATTGCGTATTAGTAATGAGTGAATGTGTTTTGAGTTGTTTTAACATTTCATGAGCAATAGTTTCTTCTGGTTTGTTTCGAATAGCTACTATTTGATAGGATCCACATGGTTGAATACGACGCATTTGTGTAATAAGATTTTGAGCATATGTAGATATAGATGATGATGTTATTGATGGTATTTGTAAAGCATAGATATCATTTGATGATGTTTTATCTTTTTGATTAGATAATTTATCAATAAAAAATGTAAACAAATCTTCATTATTATTATCATTTGATATTTGAGTGATACAAAAAAGAGTTGAAGTATTATTTTGATTTGAACGATGTAGACAAATGAGATTTTCTAAACCAGTATATGTTGATGTATTAGAATATTGAACTTCATTTTCATCAACTAAATCAAAATCGGAATCATGTTCTTTTGTAGCTGATGATATCGTTTGTTCTTTTTCATTAAGTTTATTATAAACAAGTGTTGCAATTGTTTTAATTGAAAGTCCTTGAAGAAGATCAACTAATGGTATATAAATGCCAGTTTCTTGACCTAACCAATTAAATAATGAAACAGCAGCTAATGAATCCATACCTTGACTAACAAGTGAACGATCAATAACTATACGATCAACACTAGCTGCACCTAATAATCGTGCAACAGCTGATTGAGTTCGTTCAATAATTGTTTCTTTTTTGTTCATAGTAGACTCATTTGAATTACTTTTTCCTGGGGATGATGGTTGATCAAATTTCATTTCTTTATAACGCTCACCAACTATTTTTCTTAAATAAGATGTAGCTAATGTTGGATAATTTCGATGTAATGTTTGCCAATTAACAGCAAAAATAACAGGACATGGACAAATCTTTTGAGTTTGATGAAAACATTCAATTAATTCGAATACACTTACTGTTGGCATTAATTCAAAACCTTGTGTGACTTTTAAAGTATTGAGCATTTCTTTATGACGATGAAACATTCCAGCACCACTTACAGCTGGTAAACTAATTGACAATGCTGGTAAATTAAGTTTTGTACAACGATAATGAGCAAGTGCATCAAGAAATTGATTTCCAGCATTATAACCAGCAGATGCAACTTCAAGTAAATGATTTCGAATGGATGAAAACATAATAAAAAAATGAATAGGTGCATGAAGAAGTTGTGTAGCTTGATGAAGATACCATGCACCACGAACTTTTGGTGGTAAAACAAGTGATAAATGTTCTTGTGTTAAATTGCCTAAAGTACGATCTTCTGCAACAACAGCACTATGAATAATACCACGAATAGGATAACAAGTTTTTTGAAATCTTTCAATTAAATCATGAACTTGTTGAAAATTTGTTACATCTGCTTGAACAACATCAACATGAGCATTATATTCTTTTGTTGTTCGTTTTAATCTTAACCAATCATCATACTGTGGATTTGAAGGTTGTTCAAGTTCAATTGATGTTCGACGACTCATAAGTGCTATATGTTTAACACCTCGTTGTTCAATCATCCATCGAGATATTGTTAAACCAAGACCACCAAAACCACCAGATATTAAAATTGTTCC